CATTTGCTCATATCAAACGTTTTTTAGATTAACCGTCGTCCGAATCGTAACCTCGCCAGTAGTCTACTCTCTCTCTCTCTCTCTCTCTCTCTCTCCCTTTCCCCCTCTCTCTCGGGCGATTGTTAGATATTCGACGAACAGAGATAAAAATTATTTATCGCACGCGGTGTGCTCTCTATATCTCTCTCTCTCTCTCTCTCTCTCTTCACTGGACATGCCGCGACTGATCCACGCGCTGCAGAGTAATCGAACTATTTACATGAACAATCATGATTTTATACCGAATAGATAATTTAATGTATAGCGGTCGTACTGCGGAATATATAATGTATGTACATATACTGTGTAGCTCGCGGAGTGAATCGCTGCCCCCCGACCCCCCACGACACCCCCCCACCGGGAATCTGTACGCATCTTCGATGAGAATAAATGTTACGAATTAAATGTTAAGTGTTTGTGCAAGGGAAATTATCTGACGCACCGCAGGAAGCGTATAGACTCCTCGTTCGAATTAATAATTATTATTATTATTATTATTATTATTATTATCATTATTATTATTATTATTATACGAGGAGAAATGGTGAGCCTCGTTATCTCCTAGACAAATTCTGTATGTCTCGTTATAAATATTCAATTGTACGGAATAAGAGAGAACGAAAACCGCGCGAGCTCGAGACTCTAGGCACACAGCCTATCACGAAATGACATAGGGCACGCAATGTGTGACAGTTTAGTATGACATTGTTAGTTGTGCCGCAATGTTTCTTGCCTCTCTTTCTCCCCCGTGATGGATACGCAGGAGGTGAGCAACTTTACTACTATGTCTCTCTGCTGCTCGTTGTGTCACAGCACTGGTCGATTCACAGATGGTAGAGCATGAGATATATCGTTGTTTGTTCTTCTCTTTTTTTTTTTTTCCCCTCCCCCCCCTCCGTGAATGAACGGTTTCTCTTTTTTGAATGTCGAAATGCTGGAAATGGAATTATAAAAACGGACTCTGTGCAGAAAAATTTATGAGATCCGCTCTGTTTATCCGACTGTTCGGACGTATCGTATTTATCAGAACGGATGTACACGCGTGTGTATGTAACGGAAAAATGTTCATTTATAAACGATTAAACAGAAAACAGCAGCCTGAATCCATTTCCATCGCTGTTTCATTTTTTTGTTAACGGTTAAAAATAAATTGACGAAAGAGAGAAATGTTTCTCGTGATACAATGGAACTCGGTTCGCAGTTATTTTCAGGTTTATTATTTTTCAAGTTCAGGAAGAAATCCTTTATTAATTTTGCTTGTTTACAGCTTGGATATCGTTTCGATTAAAATTCTATCGACGTTTTGCGAGCTGCTACGAAATGTTTGTTGAAATTCGCACGATTGATAAACGATGTGCTCGTCCATGGTGGAAATGCATAAGCTCGTGCCATTTTAGTCATCGATTGGCGGCCATATTGGTTTTCAAAAATAATGCCTGATAAACGTTCTATAAAATAATTTATAATGCATCAGTAATGATTATTAAATTCATTACTTTTTATATTT